GTTGCATGAAATACCAGATTCTCAGTCCATTCAGTTATCTCCAGTTGAAGCTGGTTTCCAATGAAGAGTTTCTGAAATGAATGAGTCAATTATTAAATCGTTGAATTTTGACTTATGACCAGCCAAAAACCAATCAAAAACACCAAACCCAATGTTTACAGTTCATTCAATTACTACACAGTGCAGCATATGAACAGTTTATTTAATTCAACAGCTTACATAGAAATGATTGACTTACAGATTTATCAGTAATCGAACTGCCATTGAATTGAAAACTTACAAGTTGGAAGGTATTATTAAAATCAAGTTGATATGGATTTAGGATTTGATTCATTTTAGTTACCCAAGAAAAGAGTAGTTTGAAATGTGACCAATGGGTCATACGGACCACCAGTAATTGCATATTTAGCTCGAATACGATCACGGATTGGATATTGGAGTTGTTCCTCCGGTTCCCTTGAGCCATGCATGTTCAAGGCACTCATGAGCCGTAAGTCTCTTCTCCTTATGGCGTGTTAATAATTTACGAATAAAATCTTTGGCCTCGTCCGAAATGTTGCGGAAGGCATCTTCATCAAAGTTCCAATCACAGGCTTTAATATTTTTCAATGTTTCAATATCATTGTCACCAGCAAAAGGTGAAAAACCGCTAAGCAATACATAGGCTAAAACTCCGACAGCCCACATATCGGTATAGAAACCAACAGGTTCTCGTTCAACAATCTCTGGTGCGGCAAACTCGGCTGTTCCAACTGGTATTTTAATTACCTCATTAGGATCCAATGTGGTTGTCAATCCAAAGTCAATAATCTTTACGGCACTAGAGTTTTTAGCTTGACACATAATATTTTCGGGTTTTAGGTCTAAATGAATGATATTTTTCTCGTGCATGTGTTTAACTCCTTCACAAATTTGTCTCATGTAGTTAATTACTTCGGCTTCTGACATGTGATATCCTTCGGTGGTTATCCTTTCAAATAACTCTCCACCAGACATAAATTCATAAATCAATATCATTTCACCATCATCTTCAAAAGCATCATGCAAACGTATCAGCTTATTGTGATGAAGTTGATTCATTATGTCAATCTCTTTACGAATCACAGATTTTTCATATGGATGAGCAACCGGAATGAATTTAGCGGCAAATATTTGACCTGATCGTTTTTCACGACACTTGTGGACCACACCAAAAGCTCCTGTACCAATTTCTTCCAGAATGCCATAGAAATCATAGATGGATGATGTTTTAATATCAACTGGTCCCTGGAATTTTAAATCTTCCGTAACAAAGTGATCATAATTGGTAATTTTTCCTTCATCTTTACCTCTAACCTTACGTCCATGAGCATCCGTTAACCAGTGACGTTTCTTGAGCTTATCTTTTTCACTTGGTTTAGTTTTAATAACACTTGTAACATCAGAAGGTTCACTTCGTCCATAAATATTTTCAGCATAGACTCTAAATTCGTATTCTTTTTCGGGATTTAATCCATCAACTTGGCGAAGAGTAAATCGAGAGATGATTTCAATCCACTTTAATCAAATCAAAAAATTGACTAAAATTGACGTCTGATTAAAATTCAAAATATTCTCCAGACTGTCCACTAGATGGCGTAAGCTATGAAGTAAGCTAGTTAATTATTCCTCCATGCTTCCTAATTTCTTTAGTAATTTAATTTAATTTAACTAGTTAACATCGTCTAATTGTTCTTGTATTACGCTTGTGAACACCCCTGGACACCAGTACATATTTACAATTGTTAATAATTTCCTTTATTATTAAAAAAATGGTAAGTTTACTGTTCCATCCTGCCCAGGCACCTTTTTTCTACCTACCATTAAAATTCTATATGAGAGTTGACTTGTCCTCTCTTACTATTAACATATGAGAAATTAATTTCTCTCAAGATTTTTATATGAGAAATCATTTTCTCTCATGCTTCAAAAGAAATTCTAAATTCTCACCCCTTATTTTGAAAGTGCTATGATCAATTGAATTCAATTAACTCACCTTTTTCTTTTTCTCAACCACTTCTTTAATAGGCATCATCTTCTCAACCTCCTCCAATTCCTGAATCTCAACTTACAGGATTGGAATTAACTAAGAAAATTTTGGAATCCTTTCTCAAACTTATGACCAAGAATAAGGTTGACCCTGCGAAAATTACTGCCATTGAGGCCCCTCAAAGAAAAATCATGTTAAAAAACATTTTGGACATCTCAGAAAACACGCCGGTTTTCTCACTTCTTGCAGATGAAAGAAAACAGAAAAAGATATATCACATTATCAAGGCTATTTTGGCAGAATCCGATAAGGAAGATGAAGATTATAAGGATATTGAGTCCCGTTTTACTCAACTATTATTGGATAGAAAACAAGGTACGACATCAAACAAAAGGAAACCGGCCAACCAAGGCGGTTTCATGACAGCAGCACAATTCAACTCCTGTTTGAAAATTCAAAAAACATTCCACACAATCAGTGACAAAGAAATTCCTTCTAACTGGATTAAGATCACCTCGACTCTGAGAGAGCCAATCGTTTTTATTGATGCCAAGGATGAGGAGGAAGCTAAAAAGATTAAAGAAAAAATTGAATTCAATAAAAATGAATTAAAAATCTCGGCGGAGATCACGAATGTACGTGCAAGTGGGGACCGTGTGATCACTAAGCTTACAAATTCAACCCAGGAGACCATCTTCATTCAAGAAATTAAAGAACTCCTAGGCGAGATCAATATCTATCCTCCGAGCCTTCGTGACCCTATGATAATGCTTTATAAAATTCCCGCCATGGTTAATACTGATGAATTTATAGCAGATTTGAGAAAGTTCAACAACTTTAACTCTGACGATAAGATTATCTTTCATAAAAGCTTTAATATTTTGTTCAATGCTTACAAAAATATCATTCTCAGAGTCTCCCCAGCCATCAGAGAGGAACTTGAGAGAAAGAGAGGATCACTGCTGTACAAATGTTCGACTATTAAAGCTGCTGACTATTTTGGCATTCTGAGGTGTACTCGGTGTTTACGATATGGTCATTTGAAAACCGTTTGCGGGTCACAGTCTATTTGCAAATATTGTGCTGACTTTCACCTCTCTGATGACTGCCAACACAAATTGAACTCAATTAAATTCAAATGTGCGTCATGTAACCAAGCTGGTCACACTGCTGATGATAAGAAAAACTGTCCTGAGTATTTGAAACAGCTTAATCATGTTGTTTCAATTACTAATTACGCATATTCATATGTCATTCAAGATTAACTCAACAACATTACTCCTTTGGCTTATAGCGAGAAATAGTTCCATAAAACTCCTTTTTCCTTCAAGTTTCCCTACTTTGTTAATTAATTAAAAACACTATTAAACAAACAACTAACTCGCTAGTTAATCCCTACTATATATTTCTTCTTGTTATTGGTTAACCTCTTTCACTTTATATTTGCCTTACCATCCATTGTTGTTTCACTCTTTTCTCCGATTTTTCAATTCAATTGAACTGTTCTTTTCATTAAATCTTTCTTTATTTCATGTATTCATTTATCTAGTCAAAAGAACACTATTAAATTCAATTCAATATAATTCTACATTTTGGACTTTGCCTCCTTGTTATTAAAGTAAAGCAAATTGCTGCTTTTCCTTTTTTCTTCTTACAATTTATACAAACATATGAAATTATTTGTGTTGGATACATTGTTGCGGAAAGGGGTAAGATTAATAGGTGATCCAATGGGAATATCCTCCATGAATGATTTTAAGGACTTACAGGTTGCCAAGCTGCGGTGCTTTATAAAAACGAACTTCAGGTCCTCCTCTACACCCAGAAACTCCTTCATCTTAGCGACCAATTGTTCAGTGTTTAGCCCGGGGTCTACCTGTACTCGAAAAAGCTGATTCTCGAAGAAAATTTTCAGGACCAGGTTGTTGGGGATTCTCCGTAAATTCCCGTAAACATCTATAATTATAAAATTCATAAGCGAAGTCATGATTAAAAATTCTGCCGGTATGAATTCAATTCAATTCAACTTGTATTCATATACTTACATTTTTTATTACTTAGAGAGCAATTGAATGATATAAACTGCTTGTAAGATTGTCTCCTTAAGCTTTCCAGGAAGTTGAGCTTACTCAAACTACAATTAGCAACGGCTCCAGGAAGCTTCTTGCTCTGAAAGCTTCCACAACATCGAGGCAAGTGTTTCCCATAGACTTCAGGATTTGAGAAAATAACTCCGCACTTTTTACAGGTTACTTGAATCATTGAATATAATTCAATGTCACAAAGACTGGGATTACGGAATTTAGGTTGTTGAAAAGTTGCCTCACAATTTTCGACAGGACACTTGACAGGGGCGTAATCACGTTTCCCACCAGGCCTAACGGGTGTTTTTCCGCATGAATCTATACACGAACAGCAATACGGCCTCTGACAATAATCCTGTCCGAATCCTCCATCATGAAAAAGAAATCGTTGCACGAGATTCCCACAGACACCACATAAGAAATGTTTCAAATCATCATTCTCAAAATAACACTGGTCTGGTGTTATTATGTAAGGATTCATATTGAATAGAATTGAATTGAAACTGATTGATGAACACAGGTAAAAAATGACCGCTTACGTTGCCTACACTAGACAAAATGACCCAAAATACGCGATGCTAAGTGCAAAAAGCTATCAGGCTAGCCTTTCACAAGCTTATAAGCTTATACTGATTTGAGGACGCTAAGCTATCTGCTTTCTGTTCCCTCGACCAAAACGCTAATCTATTCAATTCAATTCAATTTTTCTTAATCTGAAAAAACTTTTTAACTAATATAATTCACATTTATTGAGAAAATTTTCTGGATAATTTGATTACAGAGCTTGAACACCTTAATCTTAATCTACTCTTCGATAGCCTCTGTTGGGAACACTTTCTGTCCAGTCTTGACATCATCTTTGTTAACGCCTTGTATGTAGCAGAATTGAACCTTACTTTGCTCAGATGTCCAGTTGCTGGCTCGACAAACATTTAATGGCGCTCCGACGTTAATATCTGCTAAGAACTCATCAATCTTTAAATTTTTTCCTAGCTCTTTTATCTCGATATTCACCAAATCAGTACAAACAGCAAAATTATAGTGTGTCCGCATTTTAGTTAATAACTGGTCATATTTTTCATCTGAATTTATTCGGACCTCATTTTCCTTTCGTGCGAAACTAACTCCGAACACCATTCTTCGAGGCTCAGTGAAGTACCGGGCGTAAGTTGCTTAAAAGTTAAAAGACAATGAATTAGTCACATTTCAAAGGTGAATTCAATTCAATTCACAATCACTTACCTTTTCCAATCAAATCGGGAGAACTGTTCCCAGCACTCAACAGATTCTTCTCAAACAAAGAGTCATCACTTGAATTAGGATTCTCTAAGAGCGGCCCTTGTCCATCCACCAGCTCAATTACTCCTAGAGGCTTACCAGGACATTTTTCAGGATGATTTTCATACAGGTACGGTCCCATCCGTTGCTGGCAAGACTCACAGGTGATCATTATCCGTTTGTAATAATAATTCTCAGCTGGACCTGCTGCTCGAACCATAGGCTGCTGTAGAGGTATAGTACAACCGACCACCGGACATTTAAACACCCTTTTCTTAAGGGGTCCAACAAAACTCTTGTCGGTAACTCGCCACATCTTGGTCAGGCAGTTTGTACAAAAAGGTTTCTGGCAAAAAGGCTGGTTGTAGCCACCATCATGTATTAACATGTCAACGACAAGCTTGTCACAAATCGGGCACATAAAATGTTCAATAAAGGTACTACCAGAGCATAATTCACGTCGAACCTGCATTTTTACGGTAAAGAAGGTTGAAACTTGTTTTAAATTCAATTCAATTCACTATAATCAATAATTGACACACAATGAGGTGTATATAGCTAGCGTGTCTAACTAAGCTTTGGACAGCTGACGCCATCTGGCGTTTGCCAGCCCATCTAATCACCCTAAACTCGCTTTACTCTTACTGATTTGAACCTTACTCACCACTGTTCTAATCTTCGACAAAGTTCCCTTTTTCTTACAATGAACCCGACAGTATCTAATACCTATTTACAGCTAGTGAATTTGAATTTAATTAATTTGAATTTAAGTAAATGGTTAACCTCCACAAATAAAACGCTTGACAATTATTTGGAAGAAATTGCCTCGACTACTCCTGATGTTATCATAACCCAGAAAGACTTTAATCAATCTCTTCTTATCGATCTCCTACAAGTCATTACTACCCACATTAATCTCCACTCGGACTTCACTCTGTGTAAATTCATTTATAAACTGTCAACAGCCTGTAACCTGTTAGATGTGAATTTCATCAATTCCTTGAACTCTTCACCCTCTCCGTCATCAACTTCCATTAGCCAGGACAGTTTAGCTGAACCACAAGACAACTCAGTCTCCTTCTTTGATGAACTCATAGCCATCCGCTCTTCTCGAACTACTCATGATCTGCCTTCTACCATCTCTTGCTATATTCTACATGAGTCCAAAACTGGTTCCAAGAAATGTAAATTGAATTTAATTTTCAAGCGTCCGTTACCCACTGCGATTGCCAAAGAAATTCTACAAAGGGAAACCGCTGACAATCAGATTGTAGTTGTTGACTGGTCGTACATGTATCAAGCTTTCCCAATTCCTCTGGCTGTACAAATTCAATTCAAACTGTACCTCGCTGAACGCTTTGCTTCAGAGGACCTTATTTGTACCACAAAAGTTGATCCGCAAGGGGATTTTATTAACTACATATTCATTAGACGCCAAATCACATACAATATTGTTAAAAACGATAATTTTACCTTCACCTTTGGACATAATTCAATTAAATTCAAACCTCAAGCCAAATTCCAATTCTGTTCAAGATGCAAAATGCTATGGTCAGGACACCACTGTTGCTTAGAATCTCCCATTGGAATATTGGTCGCTGTAAAGAAAGGATGTTAGCATTCCTAGACCTCATGATTACCGAACGCTTGGACGTTGCCTCCATTAATGAACCCAATTTGTCTTTGCTCAACTCCCTTGTACTTCTGGACCCTTCCTCAAATACTCTTCCTCCTGTTTTCATTTTGATTTCTAAAAAATATTCAATTCAATTCACTGACAAGACAGTTTTACTGGTCAAAAAATCGCTGTCCCCTTACCATGTTCAAAGCCCTTATCCGTTCTTGGTTCACTCTAAAGTTTATTCATTAAATTTAATTTCATTGTACGTCTCCGTCCGTCCACTTATTAAATTCTCTGAGAGAACTAAAGCTCTTACATATTTAGGAGATCTAGATAACCTTATTATCTGTGGGGACTTGAACGAACAAGACCCTCTTTGGTCACACCAAGCGCCCAAGATCAGTGACTGGAACCAATTCTGTACCATAAAACATCTCCATAATTTCACTCCACCAACAGGAGATAATTTTACTTACAAAAACAATCTAGGGAAATCATGGATTGATGTCATTTTGCTCCCCACATCAACTAAACTTTTAGAACAAGAGGTTGTCAATACTCCAGTGGATCATAGTCGCCTATTCACAGTAATTGAAACCCTTACCACCAAGCCAACGCCCAAGGTTCTTTACAAACGCGTCTTCAGAAGCTTTAAATTGAATTTAATGAACTCGGAACTTATCCCCCATGAACTGAATACACACTCCCCTCTTGTCCTCAACTGTAAGAGAATCTTGCTTTTTCCAGAATCCAATTCAACGCTAATCAAGATCCCTCTTCGCAAATTTTCACGTGGTCTCAGGAAGCTGAAACGTCTTAAACGATTCTATGCAAAACACAACTATACTTCACAGTACTTAAAGGTGAAGGAAAGCATTCGACTCAAGAAAGTTAAACACTCTTCTTCGTCCTTTATCTATTCTCGCGTTGATAAGATGGATACAAAGAAATTTTGGCACTGGATTAACTCAACCCTTGTCTCACAAAGCAAAACCTCTATCTCGTCACTGAGTCTCAATGACTATCAATTGAATTCAATTAAAGATACCCTGGCTTTATTCACCCAAACAAAACCCTCCATTAATGACGCCCAATTCGTTCCAGTTAAAGGCAATCTATTTAGACATGAATGGCGTAAGGCCTCCTCTAATTCAAGTTCTACGTCTCTGGCAGCTGACTCTTTTACTAAATCTTCTTGGAAGAAATTCCTAACTTTGAATGAGCATCGTGTTCAAGAAGTTATTAGAAAAATATTTGCCATCTCATATATACCTAGTGTTGTTCGCTTATTTGGGTGCACTCTAATTCCTAAATCAGATGGTAAAAGAATGCGCCTCCTCAAGACACCCAATTTCTTACTCACAATCATTGACAAAGTGCTTTCCTCCAGATTACAATCGATTGCTCCTACACTGTTGCTACCTGATTCCCAATTTGCCTTCTTATCTCACAAATCCCGTGATGATTTCTACCTTGCTGTTACTAATACTGGCATTGACAGGCCGCTATACATTTCACTGGATCTATCCAATGCTTTTGATGAGATTAACATTGACCCTCTCATTGCTACCCTCAGTCAATCACACCCGGACATTAGCCAATTAATCAAAAGTTTCTGTAAAGCGAGATTAATTAAATTGAATTACTTGTCAAAAGTTTACTACAAAATAGAAAATACCGGTGTCCCTCAAGGCTCGTCGAGTGGCCCTCTTATATTTATCCTAGCTCTGGACAAAGTTATACGAAGCCTGAATCGGCTATTCATCACAAAAGCCTATGCTGATGACATTATCGTCATCATGGATTCTCAATCATCTCATATTATCCAAACACAAATTGAAACCATTAAGGAGTCCTTTCTTTCTTTGGATCTCAAGCTTAATGTTAATAAGACAAAAATCCATGACACTTCAGTAATTCCCATAAAAGATTTTACTATGGTGGGCTATTCAACACTTTCTAACCTGTCCTCCCCTCAATTCAATTCAATTATTCATGAGATACGATTCTCAACTCTTGACTGTCTCGCTGGGATTGGTTCACTATATGGCTACTTTCCTTGGAAGGTTAAAAGATTATTGTTATCAAGCAAATTATTACCCAGATTTAATTGCCTAGGCTTCGAGATCTTTAAATCAAAACCCATCAAAGTCCTATTAGACGCCACATATTCAATTCAACACACTTCACTGTCCGCTCTAGACTGCAACTTCTCAGGAATGACAGACCTTTACACGATATATGGCTTGCATCACCCCCTCACCTATCTATGGTACTCACTTATCAAGTGGTGCGCTCGCCACCCCCAAAGAAGTAAACCTTATGTTCAAGTTCTCCCTGAAGAATTGCTCGCCCACTCACGAGTAAGTTACGGCAAGGCTCGATCCTCTGTGAACAATCTACCGCCATGTTATCATGGTCACATTTCAGACATTTTGAAACGTAAAGTATACTGTGGGTGCCCGGTTAATTGGGCCATTAACAATTCACGGTTGATTCTCTCACTAGAAGTCAATTCAATTCAATTATATCAGATTAGTTCTAAATACCATGGGTTGTTATTGATGGTTGCTATACAAGCTAAGCTGATTTCCGAGGATCTCGCTTCTCACATTTTCATCCATCCAGATCTCAGTAAATTCATCACAGGTACCTCTCCATATATCAACGACCTACACTCCCTACTTTGGCCAATTAGACATAAAGAATGGACCTGGTCTGACCTCAATCCACAACCCTCATATAACCTACTCAAACAGCTGGATCCAGCTCAAATTCCTTTGGATTATCCTTTAATTCCCACTGCTATCTGGCAGAAAAAACAATATCAATGGATCAAAACTCAAATAATTGAATGGCGTCGGGCTAAGAGAGATTTTTGGACCTGCATCAGCCCTAATTTAATTCAATTGACTAGCGAAGGTAGATTGGGTCAATTCCGCTATTATGAACTGACCAAGAATCTCAAATACTCTGTGGTTAATATCAAACTCTTGAACATATGCCTCCATCGAATTGATTGGCATCACATACTCTTAGATGACTGCACATCAATGATTGACATTCGAGCCCACTATGGTATCACTCAACCCAATATAGAATCAATTCCTCAAGGTCAACGTAAACAGATCATGAAATCCATAATCAACCTTACAACTGACCTGGTTGCTCTTACCTCGTCTAAAGGAGATACATCCTTGATACTATGACTCTCCTAGACACAAACGCTGTGAGAAAATCTAAGCCTTATCATTAAAGGGCTTCTCTTTTTGTTTCTCTTTTTCTTTTTTTTTTTTTTTTTGGGAGGGTTGGGGACAAACTTTATTGAATTGAATTTTTTTTTTTTTTTTACTTAAGGCTGTTAAATTGAAACTTCACACTCAAATAACTGTTAAATTTACTACTTTGTAATACCACATTTTGTAATCCTAATTCCCGAATTTTGTATTTCCCTCCCTTTTTGATGGTCGAACATACCATCAAGCGGTGCGACTAGCATGCATACGCAGGTTGCTTTCCACTTACCGAGAGTAACCGTTTGGGAGAGCGGTATCCCGATTCCTGTAACTAGGTGAAATTTCAATAAACTACCGGTTTTGCCTTTTTTGTTTTCTTTTTTCATCTTTTCATTGTCTTTACTGTTAGGTAAAAAGTTTTTGCCAACATTTTGGTTTATTTTCAGTTTCTTTAAAATATCTTTCAACACCATGTTGCGATACAGCTTGTTAATTTTACATGTGATCATCTCGATTAACCTGGTAACTGTCAACTGTGATCAAAACACTGATCTTTCTGTGCCTTCAATCTCACAAACTCATACAAAATCTGGTAAACAATGTAAGCTATTTTTTCCGACCTCTTAGTTCCGTGTTAGCTCTGGATCATTTTCATGGCAACAAACCTTTTCAAATTTTTAACCTAACCACCTGTGCTTTTGTGGAACAACTCCGAATGTATTAATTTTCTTATTTCAATTTGTTTTCAGCCGATTGTAAGTATATGAAAGGAACTTGGTCTGCCTGTTCAAATGGCATCAGAAGCCGTGAGGATACTTTGAGGGTTTCCCATTCAGTTTCAAACTGCAACAACACCAGAACTATTCACAAAAAATGTAAAAATGGTAAGTAACTGAAATTTCAATGAACGATATTTAGGTTTGATTTTAGACGAAACTTCCAATCAGTCTTTCTCCTTGAAGATGTATGCTGTAAATATATTTTTGACACTTTTAGTTATGTTGCTCATTTTTTGAGCATGTTATCTTTAAGCCAAAGCAAAATGATCTTTGATTTGTTGCTTACATCTTCTAAAAGGATTTGGTAGCTCGAGTTTATTTCTGTGAATCTCATCTCGGGACTGAATCATCGATAATTTCCTCTTGTGTAATGTCTTAACCCTCATAAATTTGGTATTTTTTGATGAAAACTCATGTCAAAGTATGCAAGGCAAATGAAATTGATTCATAACTCATCATTTGGGTGCAAGATATGGTTATAGTCATCATTTCTTTTATTTAAAATTGCAATTGAGTCATTAAGGATGAACCAAAGTTGAGTTGAAATATTTATATATTGTCTTTATGGACAGTATTTAATGAGAAAATCGATTGTTATATCATTATTCTGAACATTATTTCCACAATATTAACATCTTGCTTGTAATTTTCAATGTACTTTCTCTACATTCATCCATAAAATAGCCATTAATCTCACCTTAAATAATTATTCTTTGTTTTCAAACAAACGTTTACTCACCAGAACAAAGTCTGCTTTTTCTCGAACTAAATTACTTCAATTACTTCACCAGCTTAACTTGCTTTTAATGTGTTAACCAGGCTGCGAACAATAGCTTTTATAAGAAAAGGAAACATCTTCCCAATTTCCATAGAATTTCATTCCCTTTTTTTCTCCTTTATTTAACATATTGAGAAACCTTCCCAGAATTTATCATGTCAGCTCTATCAATAGCAAGCTGAGAGCAAAATTTTCTTAATCTATGTATTTTCAAACAAATGCATTCTCATTCACTTTCTTAGATTCATCTACTTTCCTCTCACCACAATTATATCATCATTATTCATTATTAACATCAATTTTCATTAGGATTGTGCTCGAAATATCAACCCATGGTCTTAAATGTTTATTCAATATTGATGTCTTTTCTCTCCCTTCAAATTCCCCCGAATATTCCTATCCATTTTTCCCTTTACTGGAGATTCTCACGAGTATCGTCATATTGTTTCTCATTTAAATCAATTTGGTATGGAGACGTTTTTTCACAAAAGGCTTGGGAATCACTTTATACTCTATTTTCAATCTCTTCACCATTTCCTCCTCCTCCACCTACTTTTGATGTAAAGTGTGTAAAAAATGTCATTCAAAATGCGTGAAGAGTAAAAGATTGAAAACCGGAGAAATATTCAGAAGCTAAAGATTGGATTAAATAGTGAATAAAAGACCTGGTTATATCAATAAAGCAATGATCAATAAATTGCAGATGCATTTTCAAAGGTCATTTACTTTATGATAAACCTTACATTTGCTGGTGAATTTATTTTCTTGAGTTTTCCTTCTAATCATAAAAATAGCCAGGAAATTACTAGCGGTTTCTATATCATCTTTCATTTTCCTAGTATTTCTGTTTTTCCTTTCTTCCAAATTGTCTTGAATTCATTATTAAATTACAAACTGAGCAAAGCTTTTAAACCTAAACTTGTTTTTACCCAAATTACTGAAACAGAACCAAGTAGTGACCAAAAAAAATTGACCCAATGCATAAACAAACAAAAATACAAGATACGGTTCAACTTGAAACTTGACAATATCTTGCACTGTAAAGTAAAGTTCAACGTGAAGGAATTCACTTTAGATTTGCTTGAAAATCATTATGAATAGAGCTTATTCATCGTAAATGTTCATCTCTTGACTGCTCTTTCGTGGTCAATTGTTTGTACCCATAATTTGTTTAAATCTCAGACACGCATCTCTGTCTTGATCATCTTACAATTTCCTCCTACTTCCATCTAGAACTGATTTTAGGAAATCATTTCGTATCTTTAAATCTTATGTTGTTGTTTTTTGTTTGTTTCAAGAATATTTTCCCATCTTTCTTCCATCTTCATCTTCCTCAGTCTCACTCTGTTTTTTGTTCACTCACCATCTGAGATTGTCTGGGTTGCTTTAAGCAACATTTACAAGGCAAAGATCGTGATGAAGTCCACTCCATCTCCAATGTAAGCGCTTGCGCTACATGATTATCTTAAGCCTCTGAGAAGCTCCTTTCAGATGGTGGAAGCTGATGAGATAAATACATCGATATATACCGAAACAAACATCAACAGAGAGACTCATTCTCTTCCCTTTAAGCTTCTCATTTTATTATGTAATTTTATATATAAATCTTAAACAACTAGACTCACTATTGACTCACACACTCAATCATTTCTCCTTCAATCGCTATAATTCACTGTACTCTTCTAGTGTTATAACTGATTCTTCACTTCTTGCTCAACTTGTTTTCATCTTGTACATTAGTTTCAGTTCTTGAACAACTCCATCAACACTTGCAAACCCAGCGATTCTTATTTTTAACCAAATAGCAATGAATTCGAAAATTTTCAGTATATTTTTCGCTCTTGTCATTACATTGACCATTGTGCTTTGTGAAACACCTGAACGACAACCTAAACAAAAATCTCCTAATAACAAGCAAGGTAAACAAAAACAATTTCATTTTTTCGTGTTAACACAACTTCTCAATTTCAATATTCTTTCACTTATCATTTAATATTCCAATTATGTCTAAAATCTAATTACAATCCTTAATTGTTAATATTTCAAAGTAAAACAGTTGCAGCTCAATGCTCATACCTTTAAATAGGATTTTAAATATTTACGTGATTTACTCCAGTAATTAGCATTCATCTACCCGAGTCTTTCTTTTGCAATATTCATTGTTTTTTAGCTTTTCATTTGCAACTCATGATACGTTTCATTCCAAGTTATCTGCTTGATTAGATTCTTTTAAACCTGGCAACTGTGAATCTTCTTCTGTCATTCTGTTTCCATCTTACACAAGTTCAGTGAACCTTTTTCCTCTCATCTCTATCTATTAACAATGAACTTAGCTTTGATAGTTTCCATCTTAATCGCACTTATGTTCAATACATTTTCCCATTGATTCAGGTTTCTTCTGAGAAAAATATTCGAAAATCTTTGTTTACTAATTCTCTCATTCAAACCCAAAAAACCCAAAAATTTAGTTCCAAAAAAATATATTTCAATGCAAACTTTTGTCGGATAAACCAAGAAAAGGCGTAAAATAAAGATTATTTACAGTTTTAACCAGAAATTGAAATATCTATTTAGTGGACGCTTCTCTAATCAGTCCATTTCCATTATAACTTATTTCAATTTATCGCACAACATTCGAAATGCAGAATGTTTTTTTCTTAAGCAAATGTATGTGATAATTTACAGCAAAAAGTGTCTTTTTTCCTATTAGTTTGCATTTCTCTGAGCTTGAGCTAAAAATAATTGAACTTGAGCTTATTGGAAGTTTTGTTATTGAATCAACCTTCAAAATTTCTCATTATTAACTTTTGCTTCTTTAATTATCTGAAGTCTTTAATGTTATTAGTATATCACTAAATCAAAAGTATTTGCTATTAAGATCCAAAGGCGAGAATCTTAATGGCAAATAATTGAGATAAAGTGGTTTAACTATTACTTATCTGATTGTCTTAATTATTTTAATTGTTTTCTCCCCAGTTTGCCGTTACAACAAAGGTCCATGGTCAGATTGTGTCAACGGTGAAAAATCACGA